CTCTCTCTCTCTCTCTCGCTCTCTCTCTCTCTCTCCTCTCTCTCTCTCTCTCTCTCTCTCTCTCTCTCTCTCTCTCTCTCTATCTCTCTCTCTCTCTCTCTCTCTCTCTCTCTCTCTCTCTCTCTCTTCTCTCTCTCATCTCTTATCTATCTCTCTCTCTCTATCTCTACTATTCTCTATCTCTGTCTGCCTATCTATCTTTCTCACTCTCTCTCTCTTTGTCTGTATATCTGTCTGTCTCGGTTTCTTCACTGATTGCAAAGCTGTCTTTCTTTCTCTAGCCTCCTTCCATATGCGGGAAGCTAATGGTGTACATTTTCCCGTGGCCAGGCTAGGCCGCGCCGCTGACCCAACCCAACTTGGCCAAAGCACTGAGGCCTCCTTCAGCTGCAGCTTGGTCACGTGGCCACCTCGCGGGTTGGTCAGCGGCAAGGTCTAGAGAAGTATTTTTAATTATTAATGAACAGTCTCCTTTTTTCTTTTCTTTCCATTCTTTCTTCCTAACTTCTCTGTTTTTCTTTTTTCTTCCGTTTCTCCCTTCTCTTTTTTTTCTCTTCTTTGCTCTTCTCGTCTCTTCTCTTCCTTTCCCTTCCCTTCTTTTCCCGTCTCTTCAATTCTCATCCCTTCCCTTCCCTCCTCCTCCTTCTTTTCCTTTCACCTTTTTATCTCTCTCCTCTCTTTTAGGTTGGTGATCAAAAGCAAGCAAGACATTTGTATTCTGACAATATCATGTAATCCTTACATTCACGTTTACTATTTTTTCTTTAATGATTAATTTATTTTGTTTCTGTTTTTTTTTTTTTTTTTTTTGTATTGTTGACGATTATGTATTGACCTCCGCTTATCTCTGGTGACGTCACTACCCACTTCAACCGTGTAATCGTATTTTGTGTAATGATAACTATTAAAATCGAACTGGATAAATTGCGAACCTGGGCGGCTGTTCAGGAATGTCAAGGACTTTTTCCGAGCACTTCTACAACACCTGCAGGATATTTCTTTTTATAAAATTTAGTGCTAAATCTTGATTCTAATATTTTACTTTGCTTTCTCCCTTTCACAGATGGACAGCCGTGGTCGCTGTACCTGCCGGTGTTCGCCGACGCCACGTCCCCCTGCGGCGTCGCGGTGGCCGCCATGGCCTCCGCCCTCGAGGGGAACGCCTCCCAAATGCAAGACTTGCTCGGAGTCTTGCAGAGTAAGCTTTCCCCGAAGATTGTAACTGCTTATCATAAAATGTGTATAACTATGTATTCAAAGACACATTTAACTAAAACTATTGGCAAAGCAAGACAACAATAGGACCTGTGGAGAAGGTTATTTTGATGCATGCTTGTGTGTGTATTGGGGAGGGGGGGGGGGTTGTCTTGCAGAGTATGCTTTCCCCGAAGATTGTAAATGTTTTTTTTTATGAAATGTTTATAAATATTGTGTTTATGTACGTATATAACATACTAGCACAGTAACACAACCACAATAGAAACCTGTAACTGAGTTTATTGAGATGAATGCATGTACGTGGGGACGGGGACCAGAACGGCGGTGGGCGTGTGAGGGAAACCACCTCGACTGTGCATTGAAAGCAAACGTTGTATGTTTAGCGGAAATGGCTGGTCGTAGTCCACGTCCCTGATCCCTGTGTCATGACGGAGGCCGCACTGGTTCACGACTCTCCTTTCCAAACCTAACGTCAAGGAGCTTCTTAGTATGCTGCTATGTCTCCTGAAGACGCTCCAGACGAGACTTTTATTTCCTCCACTGT